GTAAAATTTTCCGCTTTTTCATTTTCCGGTGTCAAAAAGGGGGGTTTCCATTTTAAAAAAACCACTTCCGGTTGAAGTAACCCACTTTCGGTCAAACTCAAAAGTTGAAAGGTACGCCATTTTGGTTCCCCCTCGAAACCCTACAACTTTTATATGAAACTTTTTTCGATTCCTGGCCACACAAACGAGTTATTGGAGGTGATAGATTCAGATGACTCACCCTGTATATATATTTATACAGTGTGTCCCATAAGTTTGGCAACGGCAAGAAAACTTGGCGAGGGAGCATTTTAGAGAAAAATGTTTCGAATAAAAGTTGTAAGGCTTAAAAAGTCGCATTTAATGACAGTAGTTATTTGACCTAAGATGACGTCGCCAAGGTGTGGACAAAGTCAACTTTGCTTTTTTAAATAGAAATACATATTTTTTATTACGGGATTTTATTCTACGTAAAAAAGCAAACAACTTTTACTTGAAAACATTTTTTATACGACCTCTATTTTCTAAGATATTTACGTAAATATCTACAAAATTATTGGTTTCAATAATTTTTTACTTGAATTCCATTAACTTTACCGAAAAATATTAAGAGATAAAAATTCCTTATTTTGTTTTCAAAGAGCTCTGAGAATTTTTTCAGAATTTTGTGTTAACTTTTTAGTACTTCAAGAAAATGCAAAAAAATGCAGTACTAAAAAATTAATATAAAATTCTAAAGATGACACGACTAATAAGAAAATAACAAAGAGCTCAAATAACAAAATAGCTTGTATCTTAGAAGATATTAGTCTTAGGACCCATGTTAATTAGAACTTTTCTTCTATAGTATAGTCACTTTACTCAATCAGCCCTAGCTGAACACTGGATGGAGACTGGACACTCCGTACAATATGACAATGCCACCAGATTGGCTCCCTCACAGAGTTATTTTGCCAGAAAACATCGTGAAGGTCTAGAAATTTTAAAACATCCCAACAACCTCATCCGAGATAAAGGTATGCAAGTAAACTCTATTTGGCATACTGCCCTCCCGGTTTTTTAATTTATCAGCTGATCAATTAAAATACGCTGATTGGCTGGATTCAAGCCTCGTCCCCCTACTCCCTAACATCATCTACACAAAGGGGGGGGGGAGGGGGAATATAAGGACAACCTTTACCCAAGGGAGCTCAGTATCAGACTTCTCAGCCCTGATGATGCAAACTGCAACGTTTGCGAAACGTCGGCACATCGCTGATTCAAGACACGGCTCCATTCCGGAAGTTATACCTAAACTTTTTTTCTTGTTTTATCTTATACTATCACGTACTCAGTCAAAACTCGCGCATCCCCGCGCTTCACGATAACGCTTCTCGATCTTTGTATTTTAAAAACGAGTTGTGCTCTCTCGCATTTTACTCTTTGTCTTTTCCCTTTCTTTTTCCAACCACAATTTCAAATTTCTTTTTTAAAAATGTTAACCGATAAAGAAAAGATAATGCTGTTTCTTTATCGAAAACTTGGAGACCATATTAGGTCATACGAAGAAGTAACTGATCTACACACTCAATGCTGCATATCCTGATCGCAATTTTATTTCTAAATCCACCGTTCAGAAGACAGTAATACGTTTTTACGAAACAGAAACAGTTAAAGATCAAAATCCTTTCAAGCCTCATAACTCTAAATATGCCTAATAAAAAAATACTTTATTATAGGTTTTTGGAAAGCCTTTGAAATAAGCTACAAGAATATGTAATAAAAAGTGGAGGGTCCAATTTAAAAAATTCAATTTGACCTTCGTATGATCTTCGTCCTCCACCCAAAGTCAAATTTTTAGCCATCATTAGGTACATTTTATTAAGCCCTACTACTTTGCTACTTATATATTTTTCGCTACAGTTGATCCTTTTCGAGATATTTGACCGTTTCCGGACTTTTTGCCAACCCTGTGTGTGTGTGTGTGCGTGCGTGTGCGTGTATGTGCGTGTATGTGTGTGTGTACAGGGTGTTCCCAAAAGGTAGTACCAAATTTTAGAGATATGTAGTATT